ATCCAGAGTTGGGCAGTTATCCTTGGTGTCTAGCAAAAAATTGTTCTGGCTGAAACGGCATCCTGGGAACCGTTTCTCTGGAACCCATGATCACCAGTGACTTCCTGACCTGTTTGTTCGAGCTCCTTTCTGGAGTCTTTGGCAGTGTCCAGAGCCCCTCAGAGAATTCTGAAATCTGTGAGGGACCTGGCCCCTCAGGATGGTAAACAGGTTGGAGCAGGAAGCCTGGTGTATGCAGACTACATTTCTTATGTTAATACCCAATGAAGGACAGGATTTAATAATCTGATGAAGGACTAATCCTGGCAGGCCCATGGAGCTCCACTGTTCCTAAAGGCAGCAGGCAGATCTCTTCTGAGAGAGCCAAGCCTACCCTGAGGTCTTCAGAAAGTAGCTGTGAGGTTGGTACAATGAATAGATTGCTGTTTCTATTTCTGTATGTGTGGTGTCTAAAATCAGTTCATGTCTAGAGGAAGAATGACTAGCTTCAAAAGCTTTAACTGACCCTCTTCTGGTAGCTCATACTTTGGGCAAACTTGAGCCCCTCTGAGAGGCCACCCATCTACTGTATGTAGTAATTTTACCACATCCACCCCATAGTCAAGAGTTCCATTGTACTAGAACTGCTGTTAGGTCCTAAGCACTAAAATCTGACTCCATTTCCTTTTGCGTGTGTGTTTGTTTGTATGTGAGCACATGTGTATGTGTTTTGGGCATGTGTGCACATGTGGGCATGTATGCCTGTGGAGGCCCAAAGTTATTGTCAATTATCTCCCCCAGTCACTCCCCATCTTATATACAGGAGCAGGGCCTTCCACTGGAAGCCAGAGCTAATCCAGCTATCCAGCTGGCACGGGGAGTCGATTGTCTCTGCATCCCTCTGAGCCAAGGGATGACAGGATGACAGAATTTAATGTGTTTTGAGGGTCCTGACTCAGGCCCTCCTAGTTGTGCAGTAGACTATATTTTTTTAAACATTTGAGTTATTCTCTCAATTTCTCTGTGTGGCTGATTAAGAGATTCTCTGTTATGTCTTGTATCTTAGTGTGGCAGACACTACTTACAGTTTTTGATTGTTTGTCATGTAGTAGTATACTATTAAAAAAAAAAGACCAGTTTCTTGAGCTAAGTATATTTATTGCTTTTCACTGCCACAAACATTTGGGATCTCGGAAAACTGACTGAAGAGTGAGTGGACTGGCAATGTCTATGGGGCAGGCATTTATTGACTTGCTACAACAAGTGGACTTTCCATACGGTAGGCCAAGACACCTGTAGGATGTATTTCAGCGCTTCCCTACCTGGGTATCTAGCATGCTCAAAGTGACACCTGGAGGTCAGGAAATAGCTCCAGTGTTTTCTTTTCTTTTTCTTTTTCTTTTTTCATGTTTTGAGACATGGTATCTCTGTGTAACCGTCCTGGAATTCTCTCTGTAGATCAGGTTGGCCTTGAACTCAGAGATCTGCCTGCACAATCTCATTTTCAAGTGCAGCTGTGCTGCATGTTTCTGCTAAACCTTTTCTAATTCAATGCCATCAAGGGTAGCTGTGCTAGCACACTTGAATGAATGCTGATTGTATGTCTGCTGTCCCAAACTCAAACTAATGGTGGTGGTGGAGCTCTAATCCTAACCTCTGAGAGGAACAAACAAAAAATGGTGTTTTTCTGGAAGTAAAAACAAAAACAAAACCATCACCTGTTCTCCCTGCCATGTAATGCAACGGCAGGAGAGACTTCCCCATGGGAACCTGGGGAGGTGCTGCTCTCAGGAACTAACGTGGAGTCCACCTTGTAGTGACTTAGTGCATTAAATTATAAAATGTTTAGATGCCCTGATCCTGCCTTCTCTTATGGCTTTGACCCTTGAGGGCAACCTGTCTGAAGGACCGATTCAAAAGGAGTAGTAAGCCAGGCCTGATATGACTCATTCTGGATGGTATCGCCTCAACTGTCTCTGGCGACATGTCCTTTCTGGACGATAGACACAAATGAGAAAAGGGAGCTGGCCTTCCGGAATGTTCCATATCCACACTGAATCCATGAAGCTTTGTCAGAGTGAGAGAGAGAGAGCAGGGATGTGTTCTCTGCTCTCCCTCACACTTTTCTCAGATACAGCAGCTCGTTAGACTTCTTAAGCACTCCCATTTGACTGTTTCTTGATTGGAAAGGCTGATACTTGTGTGTGCAACTGTTCCCACAGTGGAACTTTGAATTCATGCCTCTGTGTATTGGATTTAGTCGAAAGGTCAACAAGAAAAAGGTGTAAAAAACCGTTGGTAATTACAAAGAAGACATTGACACTGCAGGCTAGAAGTCTGTACTTAGGAGGGTCCAGAGAACTCTGGAGACAGACCCATCAGCACTTCTGCAGGGGATGGGGTACAGCCGCATGCTCTGCAGGCATAAAACCCTAGGTTGGCTGCCTAGAAACAACAGAAAAATGTCCCTGAACTACAGCTATTCACACTACAAGCTTGGAACCATTTTCAATAAACAAATAATCAAATAAAAGTCTATATCCTGGTACACGTGAACACGTGGGAATGGTTATGAAAATAATTTTGAAAAGGAAAACCAAAGTCACGCTTTCTTACTTTTGAGCTGTTTATGATGACCTTGGTACCTAGATCCCAGAGGCCTAGGAAATGGGAAAAAAAAGCTGTACTGATACTGAGAGGGACAGAAGGTGTGTGTGTGTGTGTGTGTGTGTGTGTAGTTGGAGGGGTTTGGTTCCCACATCTGACTTGTGTGCAGTTTAGGCAGCAGCACCCAACAGGGTAGTGCTTGCTGGAGTCTCTTGGTCAGAAGGAATCTTCAAGATTCGGTTAAGTGCAAACAAAGTACTTATTGCCAAGTTGAATGATCCCACAGTAAGGCTGATGAGCTGCATGCAAACGTGCTCACCAGCCGGAGGGAAACTGGTCAAGGCTCCTCGTGAATGAGAACAGTTTGCATGGCATTGTGGAGGAGGCTGGGACTTGCCAGCTGCCTGGCGATGTCTCCGTTTTTTAGAATTCCGCTTTCGTGGACACCAATAAAGTGAAGCTTGCTAATCACAATCACTCACTTCTCTCTCATAGGAGGCAACCAGCTGGCACGGGGCTAGGGAAGATGTTAGTGGCCCCTTAAGTTAGAGACGTTTTTTCTCGCATACTTCTCTTCCCACACTGAGTCTACTCCACGAACCAGCCTGGGCAACACTCCCCTTCTGCACAGCTAAAAGCACAGCCGTGGGCCCTTCACACTGCAGAGCAGAAGAGAGTATTCACTACGCATCAGAGCTGGCAGGCTGGAAAGCCATAGTAATGAGCCCTAAGCGCCAAGGGGACCATGATCTCAGCACCGGGGGAACGTGGTGACCCAGAGACTGCTCCAGGAATAAAACACTAAGATTACTATATGGACAAAAACAAACAAAAAAACCCCAAACCCAAAAATACTTAACAGTTTGTACCAAAAGTTGAGTGGTAGTACGGTACCAGGTCCACAAGGAAGAATGGAAAAACACTCTGAGCTTATGGGCAGCCTCTCTGCATTGTCCCAAGGTTCTTCCCAGTTCTTACTCTCCTGCTTAGTTCTCCAAGCTGATCTTTAGAAGCCTGTGGCAGTCTGAAAGGGGGTATCGATGAAATAAAGAGGAAAGCAAGTGAAAAAAAAACCAAATGTTTTCCAAAAGAAGAGACCGGTGGCTGGCACCGCTGTTACTTGCTGGTGGGTAGCACTGCTCAAGCCAAGCCCAGGCTGGCGAGGGGGTGCTTTGCCTCCTGAAAGGATCTGAAGCTAACCTGGCGAGCCTGCCTGAGTAGGTGCTATAAAACCAGCGGGCTGGAGGTCACAGCGATAAGTCTGCAGCCCCCCAAGGAGGCTGACCAGAATCTGCTAAGAGCTCCCTGTAGGAGCTGGTGACCTGGTGACCAGAAGAAAGTAGCTTGCTTTGGAGAAAAACACCAGGATCTGATTGTTTTAGTAAGCTTCAGGGAAGAACATCCTATCTCCTGTTTATTTTCGCTGGAAGAGGACAAGATTAGGTGTCCATAGAGGGTTGTCGGAAGCTCCACTAGGGAGGGTTCTGGTGGGATTATCAGGATAGAAGCCCAGGCAGAGCAGATGGTGAAGAGGTCCTTAACTTAGAAGTGATTTTTCACCAGGACCCAGCCATCAGAGGCTGCAAGACGATAAATATCTCAGAACCGCAACATCACAGTGTGTCTGTCACCAAGGTGGCCAAGATGCTGCTTTCAGTACATGGGTGCTCTGACTGAAAGAGGCTGGGTGGGTCTACCTAGCTAAGCCTTTCTCGGAACCCAATTTTTACTTTATGGGATGCTTTTTGAAATGTATTCTTTTAATGTACTCCATTTGTTATGTTAATTACGTGTGCACGAGTGAGTGAGTTACAGAGGAGTCACCACCAGACGACAGCTGGAAATGTACGTTCAAGCAGGACCCCGATTAGTTCTTCATGAGAGAGGCCATTCAGGCAAACTTCATTCCCCATGCTTAAGCTTTGGGGGGTTAACTTCCAAAGTGAATTATGATGACGCAAAGCAAATATATTTCCCATGTCAACTGATGGGAAGCCTGGATAGAAATCAGGGAGATTAGCACAAAGCATTAGAAGGACTCAAACAAGCTAGAGAAAAACTGTGAAAACCGACAGACGGGCATCCTTAACAGTTAAGAAAGAACAGAATCTCAGCTGGTCCAAGGCTGAGAAGGAGAGAAATCTGTACCCTGGGAAGCTGATTCAACCTGAGCGTTTTAGAGCAAAAGATAGAGAATCCACTGACGTCGATTAAGCTTAGAGCATGATTGTAAGTGGTCGGTTGTTAATAAAGAGTGTGGAGAGGGGTATCACTGCATTAGCACAGAGACTTTTCCTGACTCTGGCATTAAATCTAGGAAGACGCGCTCCACCTAGTGGTGACGCCTTGTAACTACATGCTCCTTTAAAAACAAGAGAGAGTTCTGTGGGCGTGTTCAAAAGCTTGCAAGCACAGCATGGATCTCCGCAGGTTTGAAACCCGGAATGCAAAATAAGAGGCTTGGAGGGAAAAGCAACACATAATCTGGTGCTCTTATTTGTGGGTGGTGGGTGACACAAAGGCTCCTTCCTTCTCTGGGAATTTTGGGTACGGTGTTACCTGTCCCTCCCAGGTCCTCCACTGTCTCAGGAGTGATGGACACTTTCACTTCTCCCCAGGGCTGTTCCTGTGGCTGTTAAGGTAAGTGCCCTGTTGACTCTGGGAACCTCATTTCTTTTCTGAGTTTCTCATGCCTTTTTTTTTTTCTATTATGTCCTTTTTTCTTCCCCTCTTCGTATTGCAAAAACAGCTTAAGCCAACAACCTTCCTATTCACAACACAGGGCAGAAATGAGTCTAAAGTCAGCCTGGACCACATTCAGCCCTCACCAGGGATGGAAAGCTACGGCCAGGGTATGGTTCTGGTCCTGGTGCCCTCACTAGATGCTCACAGCCACAGCTGTGTGAGTTCAACATCATCCTTGGTGCTTCTGGGATCTTTCTGACAACTAAATTTGCATGAGCTTTCCCCTAAAGAAACAAAAATCCAAACTAAATTAAAAGGATGATATAAAAAATGTTTTCCCAGTTGAACAACGAAGCCGCTTAAATGTCTTGGGCAGCCCAGATACCTTTAGAATATGTAACTAGGAAACAAACAAACAAACAAACAAAAAACCCTAACTGCCCAACAGCACAAAGGTTCAGAGGGCTTTGGGAAGAACTGGCAAGGAGAGGGGAAAACTTGGCGTGGAGGACTTCCTAACCCCCAACAAAAGCGGGAGTAACAAACCAATGGGGGAAGCCAAAGGTAAAAAGATTCACCATATACAGAGGAGCACCAATCACCCATGTCAGTCAACACTGCCTGGCCCTCTCTCTCAAAAGAAGTTAAACTTTGACGGGAGACAATCAGCAGCGGGGGGCTCGGGGAGCGAAGAGCATACCACTGTGTCGGCGGTACTGACCAAAGAGTCTTCCCTATTAAGATTGCAGAGGGTTTCACGGTCCCTGTGCCAAGCAGGCAGGACCTCGAAGACCCAGAATGCGATTTTTGGTAACCCTGGAAAGGAGGCTGGGAGAGGAAGTTTGCCGGCAAAGGGCCAGTGTGTACAAAGACAGTGGGGTGCTGAGGTGCTGGGGTACATAGAATGCCGAAGAACCTTGCCTGATCGGGGTACGTCAGGGGAGAGAAACAAGCTGCTCCTGCAGTCACAGGCCCCCAGCTCTCCTGGGAAGGACAAACAGATGGTTGGCTTGACATGTAGACACTCACAATCCAACAGCTCGCAAAGCAGCTTGACCACGGGATGGGGGTAAACAGCAGGCCAGGCTGTGACAGTGTTCTTAAATTCACAGGGGAATACACAGATCTGAAAGGAGGTTTTTTTTTTTTTTGAGACAGGGTTTCTCTGTAGCTTTGGAGGCTGTCCTGGAACTCACTTTGTAGACCAGGCTAGCCTCAAACTCACAGAGATCCGCCTGCCTCTGCCTCCCAAGTGCTGGGATTAAAGGCGTGTGCCACCAACGCCCGGCACCTTTCTCTTTTTAAAAATTATTATTATTATTATTTTGAGTCAGGATCTCACTATGTAGCTCTGGCTGTCCTGGAACTCACTCTGTAGACCAGGCTGCCCTTGAGCTCACAGAGACCCACCTGCCTCCGCCTCCCGAGTGCGGGGATTAAAGGCGTGAGCCGTTACACTCAGCTATTCACTGCCTTTTTGAGTCAATAATTCTAACACTGGACACTGAGAGTGTGTCCTGGAGGCAGTGGACAGAGGAAGGACCCCCCCCCCCCATGTTGCTTAAGTTGTTAGCATCCGCCAATGCCACAGCATGGAGCTGAGCGCTAGGTTTGACTGAGGGACAGTTGTCCTCATGACAAACCTTGTTCTTATTGTTGTTTTTTTCACGCTAACAAACTGACAAAAACATGACCCTTCCTCCAAAATCCAAGAGATTCTGGCTTCTATTTCCCTTGTCCAAAAATATTTTCAATCTGGCCAAGACCAGTCTTTCAGAAGTTTCTCTAAGTCCCAACAAACACTTGAAATGGCCTCCCAGTGGCCCTAGGACCCGGTAGGGAGACGTACAGATAGCTCAGCTGAAGTACCATTCCAACCCAGGCAGAGTGGATGCCATCAGCCATGGGATGGGGTAAGGGCAAGATAGAGGGATCACCATGCTGTCTCACTCCATCTGCAACTTCTCTTTCTGCTCAACTCTGATGCTCTGTGCAGAGGAGAGGCTGTGCTGTGTCCCTGGCAGGCCTGATGCATAGTGGTGCCCCCACAGATATTCATCACAAAATGTATAATCACTGCACTTTGTGTTCTTGTTACAGTCTTCAATGACGTGTCTCTAAACGAACTGTGTAATTTACCCTAGGCTTCTGAGATCAGCTACCCTATTGCGGAGGAAGTATACGAGTCTGCTGTTGAAAACAGCTATTTTCCTCTAGATGAGAGATGTCTGTCTGTCTGGTGGGATATATGCTCATCACTTTATTTTAAAAGAGGGAAAAAAACCCCCTACAAACAATACACTTGTTCAGAGTGGGAGAAAAACTTCCAAAGGAGGGAAATATTGAATGATCCTTTTAAGCCCTCTTTCCCTACCCAATTCATTTACAAATGGATATCTACAAATGGTACTAGCTTAAAGGATGAAACAAGAGTCTTTTTCATATAAAGGAAGGGAAATTATGCTGGATTTGGAAACTCACATATCAGGGTCTGGTCTGTTGCTTCTGCTTTGGTCAGGTTTTTTTCGGTCCAGTGTTAGAAAAAGAGTCACAGGATTTTATTATTTTATGAATAAATGCTGCCTGAAATTCCCCAATATTTAACTCTCTGTGGTGTTACCACAAACAAAGTCAAGCCAAAGAAGAGTGTGTTTTGAAACTTTGGAAACCCTGGCTACTTGCACACGCTGGGACCAGGCCCTCTCATTTTGCTCCCTACTTAGGCGATACAACAGAATCCATCTGCAGAACCCAGGCAGTCAAGATGCCGCTAAAAATAAAACCATCAGTTCTTATGCCCTTATTACCCCTCACCAAAAAAAAAAATGGCTTCTGGGAAAACCAAGATAGTGAGAAAGCAAGGGGACCCAGATTCCTTTATTTTCACTGTTGGTTTTTAAATATAAACTCTTACAAAGTGGTCTTTCCCCTTCATTGCTCCAGAACTCTCAAATTCTTTGGGATGGAAGGCAGGAGTTTCTGTCCACACAGGAGAGTGTTTCTGGATAATTTCCTCACAGTGTTAAAGGTTAGGAAGACTAGTAGGTGCCCCAATATGCATACAGGCAGCTCAGAGAAAAAAAATCCCGCAGCATGGCAAGAATCTAACACTCTGAATAGAGAAGCAAACAGTGGGAATAAACACGGAGGCGAAAACGTGGGCTCTGTTAAGGCACTGACACCCCCCTCCTACCTCTGTGCCACGGAGCTGCTGTCCGTGGTGCGCTAAGCACCGACCCTTCCCCTAGGATTCCTCTCGAACTGGGTGGAAGCCCTCTTTGCTGATACTCTGGGTCTCCTGGAAGCTAGAGCTCTGGAGGCTACGTGTGTTTGCCGCAGCGGCATGGAAACATACACCTGCCTCCTTTGTACAGCATGGGGTGGGTAGGGCATGAGTCTACAGAAGGACGACAGCCATGAGAGTCTCGAGACCTGCTCTGCATGCCAGAAGCATCAGGATCCCTAGGTGCGCCAGAGCAGAATCTGAAAACAAGGCTGTATCTGCCTGAGTCTTGTACGCGGGTGCCGCACACTGTAGACTAAAAATGGAGCTAGGCAGACTTGCGCAGGAGAGAGAGAGAGCCAAGGGACATTTTTCTGTGTGTACTCCACAGTGCACACCATTACCTCCAGCCCACATTCTATTTGGGTGACATAGCATGTTTTTCAGGGGATCCAGGCCCCATGTTCCAAGCCAGGGCAGAGTGCCTCTCTTAGGGCTGCTAAGGAAAAAGAAGTTGTGTAAGTAGTCTTGAGTCTAGAAAAATCCTCTAAAGTCCTGGTTGGCCAAGGAGCTGCACCCGTGAGTGGAAAGTGGGCACGTGACTGACTGGCGTTTGAACACTTGGCTAAGTCATGGAGAGAAGTGTTTCCGTCACAGGGCTTCCGCTGGCCCTCAGCATTGCTTATCTTTGCGCTGAAGGGCCCCATCTTAACTGACTGGACTTTATTGTTTTTCTAACTTGTTGCTTTTTTGCTGATCTAGTGTTCCAGTGAATCTGTGGGTGGGTTGCCATTTCACGGATCAGTCAGACATGCTATGATTGAATTCACTAGTGGCTCAGGTAGCGATCTGATACCAACGTGAACTTTGACCTTTTTAGGTCACATTCTGGCTCTCCACAAGAATGCGTCCATTGGAATAGACGTCCTCAATCTTCCTGTCCATGAGAAGCAGAAAGTGATGATGGACAACTCAGACCCCGTGGAAAGAAGGGCTGAAAAGAACACGGTTTTCCAAACATCTACACTGAGGTGTGTGTGTGCGCACTTGGCAGGTTTTACGACAGAAAATTAAGCATTTCTAAGTTTCTCCACCTAATGTCTTGGAAAACTTGGAAACTTTTCTCTTGATATTTGGATATGTAAATAAAAGTCCTTCATCATGTTCTAGCCTCAATCCTCTCTCCCTCTTTACCTCACACACACGGTAAGGTAGCTCAACCCCAGGCTTTGAGAGTGACCGCAGTGCGTGCGCGCGCGTGGTGTTGCATGCACTCACCCCTCTCTAAAAAAACAAGTCAGTGGTGGTTCACACTCCTGATCTCTGCGGAGGTGGGGATCCAAGCCAAAGCCCAGACAGCATTTCCTATGCTTCTAAGGGAGAGGCACAATTCCGCAGGCTTCAAGTCAGCACAACATTTGCCTTTGGTGGCTTGTGTTGCCTGGCGGGCTGGAATCACGTTAGCAGAGCGTTTCTGACAAAGGACTGTGTGCCTGGTGAGATGCTTTGGAAGCTGTCCCTTTATATCTATTTATCTCGCAAAGCCCACAGTTTGTTACTGTTTGTTCTTTCCATCTCTAACATATGCTGCCTACCCCACATCGCCCTATTGGTCTATGGGCAGCTTCTTCAGCAGGAAGAACCATCAAGAGGCAGAGATTTCATGGTGCCTTTGGGAATTTGCCCCCTTGTGCTGTAGATTTCCCCCCCTTTTCTTTCTTTCCCTTTGTTTTTTTTTTTAAAGGCACACTCTTGACTTGACATTTTTGATGTTACACATGAACCAGATTCTAGTTTCAGGTAGCAAGCCAGTTACTCAAAAAAAATAAATAAATAAAAATAAAAAATACCCCCCACATCAATGGATTAATTGCAAGGCTTGGGCCACCTCTGATATCAAACGAGAAGCACCCCCTTCCCCACATACCACAAGTGATATTAATGATTCCACTGAGTTAACCTAAAGCAGAAAATGCCCCTCTGTGTGACCATATATAGCCTGGAGTAATATCCACAGTTTTCCCAAGAGGTCAGGATGCCCCTTTTCCTGTCTCCATTACTGAGCCTCACAGAAGGGCGTGCCAAAGCAAGGGCCCCTGGCAATGTTTTCCATCAAGGAGGGGTCACGGCCTCTCAGCTGATGGCCTCAGGAGTACCTGATGCTCCTACAGAAGAAAATCACCCGGAGAGCCCTACATCTGGCTCCCCCCTGCGTTCCAGTAGGAGGCTGTGCAGCCCTGAGGGGGTATTTCCTGGATGTTTGAAGCTGCTATACTATGTGCTGAGCCTAGAACATCTACTATGGTGATGTGCCACGAGTTTTTGAAACAGAAAATTAGGCCTCGGAAGACCCTTCTCATTAGATGCTCTCAGTATATTAAAATGCACTTAAAAGCCTCTTCTGTGGAATATGGCCCCCCCCCACAAAAAAGGCCCATCTTGAATCAGTAGCTAATTGTCAAAGCCTGTAAAACCACGGCATCATGACACCCTGACATAAATCAACACCAAAACGCGTGCACCACCTGTAAAGTTGCCTTTGTCTCCAAGTGACACATTCTATGCCAAAAACACCACCGTACATCTAATAAGTGGCACTCATTTTAATAGATCCTACAAAAATACAATATTTTCAATGTTCCCCATAAAACACAAACTTACAAATATTATCCTCAGAGCTCTGGTAACATCCAAGTGTGACTCTACTGTAAAATTTCATAGAACATTTCAAACACTAGCATGTGAGATAAATTTGCTATATAAAAAAGTAATGTAGATAGGGAGGGGATGGATACAACTAGTCACGGAAAGTTGATCTGAAATTCCAAATTAATATTTAATCAGATCAGGTCAATGACTACCGTAAAGAGAAATATTTTAAAGGATTATAAAACATATTTTGATTTTTCACAAAGGGAAACACAATGTAAAAGTGCATTAGCAAGGTTTTTTCACTCTCTGGTATAACTGCATTTATATTTATGTTTCTTGAAACTTTTTTGAGAAGAAAATTTTTTTGTATACTTCTGTCCACAAAAAAAAAACCAGGCATTAAGATGAATGATACTAGTAGACCACAGCTCTGAGAAATTATATCTGAAGTTTCATATTTCAATACCAAAGTCTTGAAATCACCCTCCATAGCTTTCTAACAAGTCTCTCTCTCTGCATAATAAATGTTATCAATTCCCAAAGTTCACTGAAAATGATTCAGAAGTAGCAAATTAAATAAAAGCAGCACACAGATAGGTTCCACATTTACAGTAAGGGAATCACAGGGGCCACAGTTTAGAGTCAATATAACCCCAAGGAAACAGAACAGGAAAGCATTGAGGCTTCCTTGCCACCGCCACTCACTGCTTCTGGTTGGTGAAGAAGCCTGGTCCGCAGCAGCCTGTGGTCCTTTTAATTAGCTAAAGGCATTGAACAGATTTACCTTCTCCGGTTGTTACTCAGGTCCCAGAGATTAATGGATAATTTACGAACTATTTCACTCTGCTATGGGAATTTAGCAAATGGCTGTGGAACCAAATATAAATACTTTATACTTTATGTACAGTTGCTTCCATAAGGCGTAATCATGTAATTTTTTTTATTGAAAAAGATTCAATATAGTAAAGTCTTATTTTTAAGATATATTTTCTTTCTCAATCCAAGATGTTTACGAAAATATCGTTTTTCTATATTCTTTTTTTTTGTATATATGCCAACATATACCTTGTGCTAGAAATACTTTATGGGGGTTACAACTCTTTATATACAACTTTTGAGGCAGTATTTCTGATGGAGAGCAGAATTTTTAAAGAGCTTGTGTGTGCTTCCGTGCTCCGAAATGATAGGAAATCCACTTTGAGAAGACAACTTATTTGATTAAAAAAAACAAAAAACAGAAACAAAACCGCACCAATGCACAGCCAGGGGCTGCTGCTGGAACTGATAACCGCGCACTAACGCCGTGTTTATAGGTAACATTTTTCAGGGTGGTCAAGGCTAACGTACAATATTATACACCTGGCACTGATGTTTGCCATTGGTCCAGCAACTGGCAAAATTTGTTTCTATGTATAAATTTATTTTTGAACATTAGCTCTGGCCTGACATATCTTCACTATTTATAAAAACATTTAGACAGTGAGCTCACGTTGAATAACTAGGTCTACTGTGTTCTGGAAGCTCTTCAGCAGTAAAACAGCTTTTTCGTGTTCCATGTGCACAAAACTGTGTCCATTTGCCTGAAAACACACAAATGAAACAGGTCAGTCAGCGCCCACAGTTCACTCCCTCTGTACCTTCCTCACCACGGGACTCAAACGAGCACAGCACAGCGAGACTTCAAGATTCAGAGTGAAAACGGCCTTGACAAGCATGCGTCAAACGCCCAGCATGTCCCCGCTTGTGCGCAATGGTAACGTCCTACTGGGCAAGAGCAGTCAGATGCTCTTAGACACGGTAGTAGCTCAGTTTTGTTGTTTGTATTTTGCTACGCTGGGGATGGAACTCAGGTCTTAGTGCATGCTGGGCAAGCCCTCTACAGCAGAGCCACACGCTGGCCCCATGGTTCCCATTTGTCTGTACAGGTTCCTCGTTGAAGTGGGCACTTAGTTGACATAGTCACCAACGCAAACGCACCGGCTTACTTTTTAAAATTATTTTTATTTCATCGACGTGTGTGTGTGTGTGTGTGTGTGTGTGTGTGTGTGTGTGTGTCTTTGTGACTGCTTGCTATATGTGTGTGGGAGCCTGGAAGCCGGGAGAGGGCGTTGAATCCCCCTGGAAATGGGGTTACAGGTGGTTAACAAGATTCTCGGCATAGGTACTGGGAACCAAGGAACCAAACTCAGGCTCTCTGCAAGAGCAGCAAGGCTCTTAATCACTGAGCCACGTCTCTCCAGCTCCACATTAGACGTGATAATCATGTCAAATGGGAGTGGAACTATTTTAATCTCAGTTTGATCCACTGGGAAAACGGTTGGTTTATGAATTCTTTAAATTAAAAAAAATCTTTACTAGTAAATGCCAGAGTTTCCATTATCTACACATTGGTTCTCAACCTCGTTCAAAGAATCAACATCTTAGGAATAAAAGCCAGTGACATTAGTCACTGAGAAAGGCTGTAGTCTTCTAGCTAAGGGTCACCAGGTCAAGACATCAAAATTCACTTTAAATGTACTTAGCCTGTTGGGATTTCAGAACCCAGATGTCTACTGAATGATACTGAATGATACACTTTTTTTTTCTCTGTAGTGAGTGCTCATGGTCCTTGGTTTCCTCTGTATTGAACAGCAAATTGTTTTACTGTAATTATTTTCACTTAATTTAAGGAGATGTAGGTCTATATGCCTCTTAAGGATTAAGACTAAATTAAAACACACAATTGTTGAAACTTGGAATAAACTTCTGCCACCCAATAACTGACAATTACATAATTATTCCCTTGCACTGGATTTGGAAAGAGAGTCATAACTGGACTGCTTTGCAATGTACAGGCACTAGAACCTGGTAACTTTCTGTGTGTGTATGTGTGTGTGTGTGTGTGTATGTGTGTGTGTACGTACATGTATGCATGTGTGTATGTGTGCTTGTGTGTGGGTGTGTGTACGTGTGTTTTGCGTGTATATACTATCATGGGTGCACATGTGTATATATATATGAGTGTGTATGTGTTTGCCTGTGTGCATGTGGAGGCCCAGAGGATTATATCAGGTCCTTTCCACCTTACTTTCTGAGACAGGGTCACTCAACTGGATGCTCACCAGTTCAGCTAGATCAGCTGCCAGTAAACCTTACCGATCCTCTTGTCTCTGTCTCTTCCATGTTAGGATGACATGATGCTGTGCCCAGATCTATAAGGGTGCTGAGGATCTGAATTCAGGTTCTTGCGCTTGCCCAGCAAACACTGCCTATTGAGGCAGCTCCCTAGCCTGACTTTCCCAATTTTCAGTGCACTCACACTTAATCTGGGGACACTTACTCTTTTTTTAATGTTCTTAGTATTCTAATTAACCATTTACTTAAAAGTTAAAATGTTTTCCACTCTCTTCAACTCTTCAAAATTTCAAGCAGCATTGCACCTTAACAATACCACACACCTTCATAACTTAGATGAAAATTATCGCATGTATAATTTTATCCCTATTTACTTAAAATCATACAGTGATGCAGGCATCTGTACTAGCCTGCCCTTGGGGTTCTGACAGGATACGTCCTCAGCTGAAGCCACTAGGAGCACCACCTGTGCATATTCACTACATTCCCTTTTAAAAGGTCCCTGCCCACCTCCCCTCTCTGTCTCTCTCTGACTCTGTCTCTCTTGCTCTCTCTGTTCCTCTCTCTCTGTTCCTCTCCCTCTCTCGGCTTGGCTTCTCTGTCTCTCTCTCTCCCTCCCTCTGCCTCCCACCTCTCTCTTCTCTTCTATTGCTCCTGTCTCCAGAGGCCAGTCTCCCTCCTCTCCTCACCCCCCTTTTCTTATTCCCTTTCCTCCAATTAAGAAAAAAAAACCCTCCATGGGAGGTCTGTGGCATGGCATCATGGCATCTTTTTCTTCTGAGCCACTTGTACCACTTTTTTTTTGTAAATTACAACATTAATATGGTAAAGAAGGTTCAGATGTGCTTCATTAAAAACCACGGCACATCTATCAATAGGAAAAATACTGGGGAACAGGAAGGGAATCTGTGTTCCTATCGCTACAAATTTGCTTTGAATTAACAATGCTCCAGTTGCGTATTTCCTATAGCATTCAGTTAACGAAACCACTAACTTTACTCGGCATGAGCTATTTTGGTGGAAGGAGACAGTAGCTGAGTAGAATTGAGGCTGTGCCACATTGAACTTCCTGCTTTAAAACAACAACAACAACAACAACAACAACAAAAATAACCCTTCTTGCTTTAAGTTATAGCAAAAGGAAAGGTTCCAGGGAATAGAGAATACAACATAAGGAAAGGAGGGTCTCCCTTTTCTTATTCGAGTTCAGTCACTGGGGAAAACAGCAAACCCTCAAGAAATACCAGACTATTCCTCCATAGTAGGAGGGATGTACTTACTGCTTTCAATTTGCCCAAAGGTTAAACGTTAGTTGTAAAATTACAATTTAATAATGGAAAATTTCTGCAAATAACCCAAAACCCTCTGAAAGTTTTCAATGGGATTATCCAGCACTTTTGTATTTTGAAGAGTCAGGGTGAGAGACTTCTGGATTTGGAGACCATGGGTCACACATGGTTTGTGTGATATCCAACACTTGTGTTGAGGGGATGGGTAGTCAAAACAAGCAAGTAGGTGTGAGTCAGAATGATGTGTCTATTGGAAGATTTTCAAAGATGATTGGTTCCCTTCCACAATGACCTTTCTCCCTCATTTCTTTAATCAGAAGTGCCTGTCGTGAGCTGACCAGCCAGGGCATTGTGGGAGGCACTGGGGATAAGACCAAAAAAGTGGAACTGGGGTGGGGGGTGTGGGGCTGATGGGGAGTGAACAGGAGCCACAGAAAAGGAAGGGTAGGTGGTGTGGAAAGCCTTTCCTTCAAAGGGAAGAGAGGTGGCTTCACGTGTTAAGCGTTTATTTTAGATTTAGATGCATCCTTTGAAAATTTCATGTGTGTAATGTGTCTTGAACATATTCACCCCATTCCTTTCTTATCCCTCTTGCACTTCCTCTGGAATGTGTCCTCTTCATGAATTTAATCAGAACTTTTCTGGAGAGGTAGACAGAGACAAGATAGACAGATAAATAGATAGACAGAGATTGAGAGCCGGGAGATGGAGATAGGGAGGTAGTTAACAGACACAAAGGTCCCACGAGAAACTACCCCTGGCAAGCAGGGATTTGTCCCACAGTTTGGACACAGTTTGAGTTTGACACAGTTTTTCTGGATGTTGTAAGGTGGTAGCTCCCCTTCTAGGCTTTTCAAACATTATTTATTTATTTAGTTTTGCTTTCTGAGACAGGGTCTTGCTCTGCAGCCCAGGGTAGTTTTGAGCTTATATTCTACCGGCTACAAATACATGGGATTAGAGGAATATGTCACCATTCCCAGCCTTAAGAATCATTTTTTAGACAGTAACTGAGCTATTCGTTAAAAAAAACCCTTTCATTCTAAATTTATTGCATTTTTATTGTAATAGACTTAGAATAAACTTGTGGAAGTGATCTTTCTCTTTCCACCACGAGAGTCCTGGGATCAAATGCGGACCATCAGGATTGGCAGCAAGCACCTTTACCTGCTGAGTCATCTTAATGGCCCTGAGCATTTCTCTTGGTGTGGAACATACTGCAAGGCCTGTTTCCATGGGAGTTGGTGGCAAAGGAGAATGGAAGAACAAGGTGAATGCCCGCAGAGGTCAGGAGCTCTGTCCCAGAGAAACTGTTTCCTCATTCTCAGGACAGAAGAGCCCAAAATAACCTACGCCATTTCTGTGATCACAAAGCGTTGGACACCTGCTTTCATCTTGGATAGTTCAGACAGGGACTCAAAGGGTCATTGAGTTTGTAATTTTTTTTTTTTGTGATTAAATAAAAGTGAGAGGACTGGAGAGATGGCTCAGAGTTTAAGAGCACTGACTGCTCTTCCAGAGGACCTGAGTGCAATTCCCAGCAACCACAGGATGGCTCACAACCATCTGTAATGAGATCTGGTGCCCTCTTCTGGCATGCAGATATGAATGCAGGCAGAATGCCGTAAACATAAATAAATAAATAAATAAATAAATAAATAAATAAATAAATACTAAATAAATAAATCTTAAAAGAAAATGAAGGTGAGAGAAAAAAAAATCCTAGTCTCCAACCATCAGGGTTGTGGTTTGTGGTTTTTGTATGAGTTTGCAGAGAGGACGGCTGTTCAACTGCAGAACACAAACTCAAAGACGTTTTGAAAGGTAAATACATACACAGGAAGCATTTCCACGTGTGATGTTTGAATATGCACACAATATAAATGCAAATAATGACGTGGGTTAATGCTGAACCAGGCAACATTTGAGATGCTGTCACACTGCACGTGCGCACGCTTTTTATAAACGTTATCAGGTTCACATAAAATGTGTGTAGTTTTGAGGAAATTGCAAGTTAATGAGAAGTGAGAAACAAATGATATACTTATTAAGTTCCAGTGAAGTTAATAGGGAAACAATCTTGGAAGCGATATTCAGAAAATGCTGTGCTTTGAAGATGCGTAATTAATAGGCTTCTAGCAGGTAGGTAAGGCCATTCCAGTGCAGCCTCTATGCTG